TGACTGAATCCATCAATAGTAGAACTACTTAACTGTAATCAGGTTTGATGACAAGAAAATCAAGGAAAGCTGAAGCAGACCACCAGATACCATAACCTTTACAACTATAAAGAAATAGCAAAAGCACTCTTTTCTGAACTACAAAATATACAGCACACCCCTTAATGCAGGCAAGAAAACTTTTTCTTTTTCCCTTCTCTTCCTCTCATACTTAATATCAGATTAGAAAAGTAGCTGTACTGCTGTATACTGCTTTTGACTCAAAGCACGTAAGATGAGTTTTCCTATAACTTTACACAAATACACACCTCTGTCCCTATGAGCTTAGAAAAACTGGAAAAAAGATGAAACTCTGTTCTTCTCCTACCCCCCAATCATCAAAGTACCCTCTTCAAGGTAAGCAGGCCTACTAAGACCAAAAGACACTGCAGTTCTTGCTGTGGCAAAACCCCCCAAACTCTCACTGGAAGGCAGCTGTAAAAGGTTAAACATACACGTTTAATTCAGGGGGAGAAAGATATTCTGAAATTTTCCCATAATAATAGCTCAATAAGTATAGCTACATTCTTCCAAGACAGAAGCAAAAGAACATTCACCAAATCCAAAGTGAGGAGCAACTCCTATGCAAACTTTATTATGCAAATAGGATAATCCCCAGGCTCCCCCCTCAGCCATTTAAGTGAAAATACCAGAAATGGTGCAACTAGAATCAAAGACAGCAAAACCAAAAACAAGTACACATCTCTCCCTGATTCCTAGTTCTCATTTTCTTCCTCTTTTTCCCAGTGATGACAGGCTGACAGAGAGAAGGAAATAGACATCCACCCCATACTCTTCCATACAAGTAAATACAAAAAAATCAAGTGTTTATTGGAAGTCTGCATGAAGGCACAGATGAGCTTGATTACAGACACATCGTAACAATTACAAATATATGTAAACACCTTGAGATATACAACAAAGCAATAATACAGCTAATACAGGAATAAAATATAACATGTTAAAAAAAAAAGTCTTTGTATCTGAGGTTCTTTCAACGATAAGCTCCAATTCACACCAACACAGTGTAATGTTTTTAAAGTCACCACTTGGATTCATGCTCAACAAAACTGCACTTTGACTACTGTTGTTAACCAGTGGATTTATAAATTTGATCCGAATTTGAAAAGGCTTCCTTCACTGGGATCAGGAAAACATAGGAATAACCAGCTAGACACCCAACCAACCTATAATGAGGCTTCATAGATTCTCTAAATACACAAGAGCAATCACCAAGGTACTGAAATTAAATACAAGCTTCAGAAAAGCTCAAGGACGCTTGTTCCATTTTTACTTGCATTTGAGGAAATTGTTGTATTTCTGCAGGAAAGGAACAGTCTACAGCTGTCAGGTGATTTTTTTCTTCCTCCACAGGAGGCTTAGATTTCATCTGAAACACCTGCCAAAACAAAAGTCAGCAATCACAAACTAAAGTGCCTTGGACAGCTTAGGTTTTACCACTAGAATAAAACACCTTCGTTTATAGATACAGTATTAATTTATATCGTGAGAAAACCCGCCTTTGCACGTACAAGACTACTTCCAATATTTCTGTGGAAAGGGGAATTGCTTTTTTGTTTTTTAATTAGAGACCAATGCCAGGAATTTAGATAACTGTGACATAACACTTTCTGAAACGAAACCACACAGAAAAAAAAAAAAAAAGTAGTTTTAGTACAGGCAATTCCCAGGCCTAGCCAAAGAGTACTCTGAGCAGCAATTTACTACAGGAACACACAGTCTTCTCAAACTCAACCTTCAACCATCTGTCCTAACTACCCACTTCTCCTCCAGAAAAGCTTTATAACCTCCAGAGCCCAGTTCCAGTGAGGAAGACTCCTACCTCGGTAATACATGCAGAACAAAACCTAGCACAGCTATGACATTTCTCCTGACCCTGCAGCCACATCATCCCAACCTAAAGATGAGGTAGTACATTTCTTTGGAGCCTAACTAGTTGAATAGGAACACGCACTATTCTCCCCAGTGTAGCAGCTGTCTGTTAAGGCAGTGCCAAAGTCCAAAGTTTTATCTCCTTTTCAGGGCACGTTACTAATGCAAAACCAGCAACAGCTGCTTTAAAAAATTAAAAAATCATGATATGAGCACACACTCCCACTTGAACTAGGACTGCATTGTAAAGGCCACGATCTGGCATATTCAGTGACTTTCTCCAGTCCACAAAGTGGCAGTGACTCAGCCTCTATTTATACTGCGACTAGTGGTTACTACCCAAAAGGAACATGAAGGATATCCTGAGTACTTATTACAGTGAGATGTGGAATTTAAAAAAATTAAAAGATTAACAATGCTAGTCCGAATCCGAAAAGGGCTGAAGCTCCTCAGGGAACTGAGGAAAACAGATTGTCTCTATGCATACAGTCCATTTGGTACTTAAGGGCTCTGTTTTCTTTCAGATCTTTCCCCTCGAGGAGGTTGTTGTAACATATGCATGTATTATAATTTTATAGCTTACACTCATAAACCTTCTGGTTTCTTATGAGATGGCTTGAACTGGAGAAATATGCTCTGCATAGTCCATGCTCTGTAGACTCCCAAGGATCAAAAAGAAATAGACTGCCATGACTGAAACAAAAAGGAAACATCAAAAAGTTGAACAGTATTAGAATTCACACTGCTTGTAAAACTAAGCATTAGGATTAGAAAAAACACTACAAGACTTAAACAAAGTTCCTGGATGCACCCTCTTAGTAAGCAATAATCAATACCAAGGATGAGAGACTGTGTTGTTCGATTGACAAAGTGTTGAAGGCTCTTTTATTCGTCTCCGTGATCGTTTCCCTTTTATTTAACAAAACATACAGAGCCTAAATTGTCTCCTGCCAGCAGTGCAACTCACTCAGATCCCAGCAAGCTTATTCATTTTCATTGCTTCCAAGACTGCATTTTTCATCCAGCTGAAGTGCACAGGGATTCCACCCAGGCAGATGGATTCCTGAACATGAACACTTTAACAGGAAAGGAATCCTGTTCTGTTCAGTTCCAGTACAGCAATTGCCAATAAGAAAGCACTGATGCTTTCCTGAAAAACTCCGATAGTCCTTCCTGCCCTTGGGAATATGCTCTCAAAGGAGTACATGTAGTTAAAACAATCTTATCTGGCTGTTAGCTGGAAGACTATCTCCGAACAGTCCCACCTCTTCTTCCAAAGAACTTCTCTGGAACAAATCGTGGATAAAATAAACTCTTAATGCTCTACAGAGTCTCAGCTGCATTCCAGTGTCCAAGCCAGATCCCTTGAGAGAAAAAGTAAAAAGAAAGCTGCTGATTGTCAGAGAGGAAAGCACTGCTCAAACAGCTAAAAGATTATTATTTTTTTTTTTTAAAAAAAAAAACCCTTTAGCTGTAAAGGGGTACACTCACAAAATGCTCATCACAGCTAAAAATTGCTAAATTGCCTCTGTGGCCTTTCACAACTAGTGATGATACAGGGTGCAGTAAGGAAAAGGACAGCAGGAACCCACCCGGGTGCTTCTGAGATAAAGAAGCCATGCAGTTAGGCCCTCATGGTAAGCTGGACCTCACTGTCAAGTGAGTTTCTCCAGTCTGTAGGAGATCTGATAAAAATCACAGCTTCAGAAACGTAATTCATGACTATAATTCACCAGGAAAACTGAAAATCCATTTACATTTATTAGGAGATGGTTGTGCACAATTCCTCATCGTATTCAAAAAGTCTACAAATAGAGTTCAACACTTCTGATTGCAAGCAAATGTTTGTTCAACTTTCTTAGTTAGGTAAGGCTGATTTAGCGCCTTGTTACACTTTGAGGATTTAGCATACATTTGTCAGTTCTTTACTTTCCTCTGGTAACAGTCCCACTGGAATATTAAGGAGAGTTCACTAAGACACTTTATAAGAGCCGCTGAACTTGGGTTACACAAATTCAGTTTTGGAATATGCTTCAAACGTAAATTATTCTCAGCAATTCTCCATTTTAAGATCTTAAACCAACACTGTCAAAGGCTTTCCCCCGCCCCCCCCTGCATTCATGCTACCACCACTATGAGCTCACACTCTATAGAGCCGCACAAGAATCTCAAAGCACTTCAGAAAGGAGGGCACTGGTTTAAGTAGTGGTACACTTGAGCTGGAATCCTGCTTATAAAATAATACATTTTTTTGTCTTACGTTTACAAAAGGACAAGTGTCAAACTAAAGCAATCCTATCTCGACTCAGTCCCACCTCTGACTGCCTGTAACCTTCACACACGCGATCCTACCACTGATTCAGGGGCTGTCTTTAACTACAATGCTCATAGCTAAGTTTCCTGTATGGCAAAGCTGAGCATCTGCTACGGTCAATTATTTTCAGATGGAAGCACTGGTCATATTTTAGGCCTGCCACAATCTTGAGAATCACTTGATTGGAGAGTCACTACCACAACTAATGTAATTTGATAATGCACTTGATCCCGTATTGGTTTAAGAAGTGTAATAGACTATATATGCATTTCTCTAAACTCTCTCAGAGCTGAAACTACATTGCTACAGTGAAGAAATTCTAGTTTTGCCTTAAGCGGAACCTTTTATGACATTATTTTAACTTACTATTTTGATTTAGAGCACTAATTTTATAAAGATTTTCAGTTTGCAATTCTTACTGAATAGGTGAGCGGCAAACATGAAAATAGATATATACAAGTGTTAGTATACTACCAGAATGCTGTACTTCCTTCTTAAAAATGTCCTTAATAAAGCATTAGGCATGTCAAACAAACTTTTGTAAACAAAAGATAAATTACTCACGTTCTGCTCTGATTATAGCCAGATACATATTCTCATAAAATAAACATTCTCTTGTCATTTTCCATGGCCCACATATCCATATATATGAGGTAAACCACTTAAAATCATCAATAATATATAAACCTCAGTACTCAACAGGAACCTCAAGAAAAATGTAACTGAGTAAGATGTCAATATCAAGAAGTGACACTTTGTTCCACTGCAAAGTGAAACCAATTTATTTGTGCTAAATGAATGGAAAGAATGTATTCAGAATACATTTCTTTATACATTGTACCGGCTTAGGCTGCTAAATAAGCATTCATTAGTGCCACGTTGTGCTACTTTCTTGTACTCTGTTTCTACCAAGCATACAACATTTTGGCTGGTAGGCCAATATATTCCTATATGCTCATCTCATTTTCTAACAGACTTTTGAACATTTAGAATACCTGTTCAAACTTTGCTTCAGGGGACTCACAATTAATGTATTTCAACAAGAAAAAAATTATCATGAGCTGTTCTCTACAATCACACTGCCTTCTGCAGCAAAAAAATCAAAGAGCACACTGTAACCAGCTATCAGTAACCTGCGGGCAGGACCACACTTACCGAAGTTAATTGTGACAGATCACACAGTATGGGCAGCTTACAGGTTAACGTAAATGTCAAGTGAAATCATCAAATCTTAAGGTCCACGAATTGTACATTCCACAGACTCCAAGAAGCCAGTTCCCTCACTGTAAAATTCAGACTGTACCATACGTTTGAGGTGCTTTTAATCAGGAGAAGTATGGATGTGTCCTGTGTGCTGAATTAAGCTTATTTACTACGTAACACAATGGAGTATGTGTCTTGGGCACTGATTAGGGTGTCTGACTCGCTTTTGCACTAGAAGCTGTTATTTCAAATGACTGAAACGTAGTGCTGATTTTCCATAAGCTTGGTAAACGCTGTAATATTTCAGAATTTATCATATAGCCCATCATGCCTTTAATTTTCTGCAAATTGTCATGAAAAAATATAAAAAGGTATCCCTTTAATTTTACAAACCTAAAAGCCAGGAAAATGAAGCTTTGGAGCCAAGCAAAACGACATAATGCCGTATTACCAAACAGAGTAGCAAATGTTCCAGCCAGAGAATGGACATACATGTAGTTCAAGTAAACACTGATGGAAAACTTTGTTAAGTTAGTGTTGTAGACCCACAACACTGGCTGCATTTTATACAAACGTTTACAACACAATTAACAGTGAAGCCTATATAACCTCAGTGCAAATAAGTCAAATCCAAATATGCCAAGGAAGCCTTTGGCTTTTAGTAAACTGCTCCAAGTTATGAGTCCACTTCTGACATACAGACTGCTGAGCACATGCACTAAGGCTGAGAGGAGGGATGCACTGAATGTTGAAAAGTGGCTGACTGCGATGCTGCGGATTGGACCGTAGGTTGCACAGGTGGTGGAGGTGGTGGCGGAGGTGGCTGCACTGGGGTCTGCGTGTTTGGAGAAGGAGGAGGAGTGGGCCGTTTAAATTTGTCGGGGCTGTTACTTCTTCGTGGTGAAGGCCTCTGCAGAACAAATATTGAAATTATGTTTAACACACTCCTGAACAACTTTAGGTGCAAGTCCTCTAATCAATGTACTGAGCTTGGCAAAGAAAAAAAAAGAAAAAAAAGAAAAACCCACAAAAAAATTCCAAACAATTATGTGGGAAGAATCCATTTCAAAACATTGCAAGAATCACAATACAACTTTTATATAAAATAAACATTACTCTGAAATTGAGTAGCAAAGGAAAGGGGAAGTACTTTTGAGATCAAACAAAACACACATTCCTTTCTGTCAGCTTGCAGGAAATGTACGCAAGTCCTATGTCCTAAAGATACATTTACCTATAATGACCAGCAACCTGAAACGAAATGAGAGATGCTGCAGAGCCAGCACTTTCCACTTGTGCTTGCCCAGCCAGTAGATGCTTATGAACCTTTAACTTTACACTGCTGGCATGTGAAGTCCAACTACGTGGCACCTGAGTGTGGGTAGGAATGTTTCAAATGCCAGAGAGTCTGCCCAGAATCTCCAGCTTTCTGAAAGACTCTTAACCTGCACACTGGAGCAAAACCAAAGCATAACCCAAGTTGTTCTCTGGAGAACAAAAAGACTGCAATCCTTTGAGTTGCAGGAGTGAAGCAGTTGTTAAGAGAGCTCCCCTCAACAGAAACCACAGATTTTCAACAACCTGCATGTTTAAACACAAACATTTGAAAACCACTTTATCTTTACAAACCAGTAGGGGTGGGGCAGGAATCATCTTTAATGTTAACAATGAAAAAATATAAATTACACTGCACAACACTAACTTCTGTACTTTTGAAACCAAAATGCTCGCTACTTACCGATCCAGTTAGCATTAATCAAGAACCTCATGACATGACAAACCACCCACCCAAAATTAATAATAATCAACCAAAGGTGATCAGCTCTGGGGAGAAGCATGATTACAGTGCTATACCACATGTACTACAGGTGAAGTCAATTTATTCTGTAATGGAGATCAAAAACGAAGAGTCAAGAATCAAACTGCAGTTTAGTCAAATAATGTATATTGTATCTATTTTTCTGCACAACTATGTACAATTGATTAACGGTCTATGCAAAATGCCAAGGGATTGTTGACAACCGACTGATATCTCTGAAACACTTAAAATCATTTATTGCTTTTGCATACATCTAACAATATGAAGGGACCAGGTTTCAGTATCAAGACAAAGCCAACAGCTACTCATCAACGCTCTTCTGAAAACAATTAGTATTTTGTCCTGAAGATTATCTTTTTCAGAGTGACTCAACGTGACACCAATTAATCTACAGTTTCAGAAAGAGTAGCATTTCACAGATACTGAACAGAACAAGTTCCTTGAAAAACTTATTTATAAAATTAGGTTCCAGGTTTTCCAGAAGCATTAAGATCTTCCTGTGACTAACTCATGTGACACA